TTTTTCTCCAACCCCCCCCCCCCCCCCAGTCTCTCTCTCTCTCCAGGTCTGGAAATGCAGAGACGTGAGAGAACGATGAGTGTGTACCACAAATAAAAGTGCTCTTAATCAAAAATGTCTGGATCCAATGGAGAATGAAAAAGCAAAGCTTTCAGGTGAGTTTACAAAGGGAAAGAGAGAGAGAGCAATAAATGAACTAAATGGCACGTTTCCCTGATGTATTTTGTGTTCAGAGTTAGAAAATTGAAAATCCCCCCTTGGTACTGCCATTTTGAGAGCCATTCCTTGCCCCCCACCATAGTCTTCAGGGACTGGACAAAATCGGGCCCAGAGGTCATCCTAGTGGCCCACCCTTATTCTTTGTTTAGCCATCATATTAAATGAAAAAGAATTGTAAAAGTAAACCAATGAATCGTGCATCCTTGCTGCACAGTGATGTGATAAGCTGTGTATATGCTTGCACATGGGCCAGGGGAGATGCATTAATTGCAGAAGACATTGCCAGGTTTACACACAGTGCTGGGGTGGGGGCGGTGCACAAGTTGACAAGTAGCTTGGAAAAAGAAGCAGAAAGTGGTTGATGATAAATCCAGTAAGTACTAAACTTTTCTCTGTTGGTAGCCTGCAAGAGCTAATAATGGAATAAGTGGGCTCATTAATATTAAAGGAAGTACAGGCATTTTGTTACCAAGAAAGGAGTCCATTTACAATAAGTGGAGACAGAATGGCTTAAGTCTGAAGACATAACTCTATCTGCACCACAGCAATGGGATCTCAGTGCTAGCCTATGGCTCTGCAACCTGCACTCTTCCAAACCCCCACCCCCCAAAAACAATTAAAAAATGCACTGGTTTGACAGTAGGTGTCAGTGCAGTATTCTTGGAGTGTCATGGGAGGAAAAATTCACAGCTGAAGGCATTAGAAAAAAGACAGTGCATCCACAAGCACCACTAAGAAACAGAGGCGTGCTTGGCTTGGGCACCTGCTCAAACTACAGACACCTCACCTGGCACAACAAATACAGGCATGTCTGATAAGGGAAACCTTAGACACCACAAACAACGACCTTAATGAGCTAGTAATCCAACGGCACGAGATTGTTGATCTTGCAGCAGATTGTAATACCTGGAGATCATTTGTTGCTGCCTTATTTCACGTGGAAAAAGAGCACCTACTGAGCCACTCCACTTCCACGGTAGTTTGATTTCCTGGGGAGACCCTCCCAGCTGAGAAAAGTGTGCACTGTCCAACAAGGGAAAGGCTGTTCTCCCATGCAGAGCGAGAGGTAATGTATGAATGCACCTTCCTTCCCTTTTAGGAGCTTGTGGTCTCCATAAAATAACTTCATGGAATTGCTCATTGTGGGCAGGTGAGGTCATTTGGGCGTTAAATTGTGAATATGATTCCTGAAGCACTTTGCTGGTTGCTTTGATTAAAAAGCATCAACTCTTATTAACTTATTTGTTTCAAATTTTATTTCTAGTCCTGGTGGGGGGGAAGGCGGATGAGGAGGCAGGGGAGATGAAGTGCGGTACATTTTGAAACTGGAAAGTGTTATGAATTAAAGAATCTTTTTGGCTGAATGCCAGGATTGTTCTATAACTTTAACTGAGGTTAAGGTTTAATCGAGTCAATGACAAAATTTCCACTTGTTCCAGTGAGGCCTGGATTTCTCCATTACTGCTTTCATAAGATTGGAGGATTAGACTGGAAGATTTTGCTTTACAACAAGTCGATAAAAAAACTCAGTTGTGCAAATAAAAGGCTTTCATCATTCTTCACTGACAAGTTGCATTTTACTACCCTTTCCTGAACAGTTACAGAAAAGTTACGTCAGTGTCAGCAAGTCGCATCTAAGACTTTGCGTTTCCTAAATTAGTATAACAATAATTGTTACAAAAACATTGAAGGAGCATTTTAAAATATCCCCAACCCCATAAACATTAGAGCTGAGTGAGAAATTACTTCCCTGTCCAGAGAAAGTTTCCGTCTTCCTTTTGTGTTTGTGTCTGCTAATTCTGAAGGCTTTGTCCTCTATGAATTTACCACTAACCAAACTGTCAAGAATACATGCCCAAGACATCTGTGTAAGAATAAATTGTGTCCTATGGTTTTTATTCTTTTGTTTTTGTCTAGTGCAAATAAAAATCTGTTTGGTTTTTTTATGGAAGCCATAGTTAGCCTTTGAAGTGATGGTGTGGATTTCCAAATGTGCAGCTTCTCAGGGATGCAGGTGGATGAATCTCTTGAGGTTGTTTTTAGAGCAGAAAAGCATGTAAATTGATTTTCAACTGAGTCGCAAATTAACTAAACCCAGAAAATCACTGGCTTATACTTTGGGGAATTGATCTTCAACTGAGTCGCAGATTAACTAATCCCAGGAAGTCACTGAGTGGCACCTTGGGGAATAACTCGTCTCCCACTAGAATTCTGGACTCGAAACAAAATATTTCTACAAAATATTTTTCTGTTAGAAAATGCTGATTTGTCAAGACCCTGATATTCTGCAGAAAAAAAATCCTGTTTCCGCTAACTTCCAGTCGCACACAGCAAGGACCTACCACGAGTCTTCCAGACGTGTCGCCTGTCCAGCTGCTGGGGTCCAAGCAGACCTGCCATTTGGGCTGCTTTGGGAACTCGCTCAGGGCTTCCTTGGGGCAGCCCTATAACTGCTGACTCTCACCTCGCTCCCAGCTCTGCAGCAAAGTCGGGGGCACCCTGAAGAAAAAAAATCAAACCATTGAATTTGAAACGTTCCCAAGTAAAACTGGTTATAGTCCCCTCGGTTCATGAATCGAGACTGCAGCACGACTCCCGGAGCTGGTAGGCCTTCAGGGCTCAAAACTTTTCAAAACGAAAATGTCTTCATTTCTAAACCAAGTTTTAAAACAGATATTTTCCCTTCTGAGGGTATTTTCAGATTGATGTACTTCAAGGCAGCTCCACCTAAACTTGGATATGATTTTATATCTCCCCAACTCGGATATGATTGTATAGAGGCCAGTCCTACTGGGTTCTGAATTTTGTCAAAAACCCCTGAAATCGGTGTGATGAGAGCAGTTGCCACCTCCGAGGAAAGACTCAGCATCTCACATGATCGGACCCATGCTTTCCTGTTGCTTTCATGGATCAGACTCTTGTGACTTGACATTTGTCTGTTTTTCCTCTATGTAGAAAGCTGCAGAAGCAAAGACGACTTAGAAACTTTTGTCTGTACCATCCTTGTGAGAGATTTCTGGGTACGAGCTTGTTTCCAGTGGAAGGAGCTCAGCAGCAAGTTCCCAAGGTCGTGGGGCAAGGAGAGGAGGTGCAGGGAGAGAGCAGTCAGGACAACGCTCACGTTATTGAAACACTTTTGGCAGCAGGGCAAAGAAACATGGCAACGTCTGTAGAGCTAACCGCCAAGAAAACTTGCAGAAGGTTTTTTTTGTTCCCATTACATTTTTAGACAGTTTCTTAGTTTAGAACCACTGGCAGTTTCCTTCCTCAATCCATGGTTTCCAGGAGGCAAAATTACTTCTGTTTCTCTCTTTCTTGCACCCTCCTGTCTGTGCTGACTGAAGAGTAGAGCGGTTGATTTTTTCTGGAACCTAAGGACTTTCAAAAATACTGGAAAAACCCCATTATTTCAGGTGAAGAAAGACCCATGGTTACATTTTCATCTGTGGCAAAGGCTTGACTCCATCTCCCTTGGGTTAATACCATCTATCACATATCCTACCCACCAACACTGTTAACTTTGCAATAGCAGTAGTTACTGTATTAGCCTACATAATTTTGACTGCTTCTGTGTCTCTGATAACTTAGCTAGAAACCAGCGTTACACTAGAGGACTTGTGCCAGGGAAACTTGCCCTGACTTGTGAAAAAGGTGGGGACATCCTATATGGTGCATCTTACAGATTAAGCTAGGAAACGCATTTAAACTGTGGCATTCAGAAAATCAACTTGCTGTTTTCCTTTGCTGGATGTCCAAATGGGAATAAGGGATTCTTTGGGATTATTATACAAGAAATCAGTTAGAAGCTTTTGTCTGTATAATACTTTGCCAACAAAATTGTTGTCCTCCAGAAGTAAGTGCTGCTTAATGCATCCAGAAGCATAATCAATTTTAGAAAAGACATCTTGGGATTTTCTTTATCCTCCCCCTCTTCTCTCTCCTGTTTTACACTCAGTGACCCAAGAGTTTCCTGGAAGCTCAACAACAACATGCTCTGTATTAGCTGTATATTAGCTGTATTAGCTTTATATTAGCTAGACGAACCTTGCTGGGGTCGTTTGACCCCAGTACTTTTTCCTGCCATGGCAGGGGGTCAGACTTGATGATCTGCTCAGGTCCCTTCCGACCGTAGAAACTATGAAAGAGTTGTGAACAACTGCCAAGAAAGAAGGCTCTCGGGGTTCAGCAAAGGGAACGCCAATAAGAAGCAGAGTGGTCACGTAATGTGATGCTTTTTGGCAAATGCACAAAAACGAGGGGGAGAGACCTGCCCACAAAGAAGCACTTCAAGTCATCACTGTGTCTGTAAATATATTCCCGGAAAACCAAATTTTGGGGCTGTTTTCCCAATATTAGAAGGGAAAAAAATTCTCAATTCCTCTCAAAACTTTTCCCTTAAGATTTCCTATTTTTCAAATCCATCACATTAAACAGATAGATATATCAGCATCTAAAAATCAGTGACTTGACAAGCAGTGCTGGACTGTCATGCTAGAAATGTGGAACTTGAAAGCTCAGAGCCTTTCTCTGTAACAGATAGCATTTGCATTCTGCTGCAGTTCATCAGCCCTATAGAGAGGTTTGTAATACTTTCTTTGTTCTGATTATGTACTTATAACAGCACATTGTACCTGTTTCCTACCAATCCTACCAACCCAGAATGACAGCATTTTAATTCTCCCATTGCGAATGACTGGACAAGGTACAAAAGAGACCTTAAGTATTAATAAAGGGACCCAGGGAAATTAGCTCGCTGAGATCTAATTGTAACCGCAACTTTCTAATCCTTCCTTTAGGCTCAACAGTGTTAAAAGAACATACGGAAAGAAGGATGAGAAACCTACTTTATTCCAGGAGAGGCATTAGGACTGTTGGGGCTCAATGGAGCTGGTAAAAGCACAGCTATACATATGATCACTGGAGAGGCCACACTGAGCACTGGACAGGTAGGTGAGATGTGATGGGTGGAGGAGTGAGGTAGACTCCAAAGTAACTGTGTTGGGTAGAAAATTCAATGACTCATCCCAAATCATGATATAAAATAATATTTGGACTCAGACTTATACCCTGGCACATCCCACACATTATGATCAGCTAACATATTTAAAGTATCAGTGTTTCACTTGCTGTCAGTCCAACCAGATCATGGAAACTGGGTGAAGTTATGTGTTATATTTAAACCATATTAAATAACTGCAGAATGTTAAGTGGTGTTAAAGCTAGAACATGCTGTGAGCAGTCGCACATTAAGGATTAAAACTGCTTCTTGTCTGCACACTTCTGATTGCTGTTGGAAACTAGGATACCTGGTTTCTATACCTGCTTGGGAGGTGAGGTGACTGAAACAGGGATGGGGATGGGAATGATGCATCTTGGGATGCTAGAGAACTGAAAAATACTTGTTTTAACTCCATGGAGCAGACTAAAGTTACCCTAACATGAGCTAGGTAGCACAGCTGAGAGTGTGTGCTTGTCTAAAGTGGTGCAACTTTGAGATACTCAGAGTGACTTAGCATGAGTTAATGAGCTTTAATGCATGGATGCTCATATTTTAAGTGCACATTATAATGCAGTTTTAACATTTATATTCTAAATGTAACATGTATTTTCACCTTTATTTCAATAAACCACACATGACCAGAAGACTGGGAATGAAAGCTTGCACCCCAGCAAAAATTACTCTCAGAAGTGTTAAGTTACAGTCTCAGGGGAACAAGTCCTGGGAAGAGCCAGAGATCAATTCCCACTTTACGGAGGTAATCTACAAAGATCTAGGGAGGACTATGGCTGTGTTGTTCGGTATTTTAATCACTAAGTGATAGCACCTGGGTCCAGAAACTCTAATGGAGCTAATTGAAGGGGGGCAGTAAAAGGTGGTGCTCTTTGAGTAGGGAGAACAACTGCAGACTGCCCCAGGTAGGGCACAAAACATGCAGGCTCTGCCCCTCCCTCAAATACCTTTCAGGAAAGGCATAATGTGCAGAGCTCTAATAGACATCTAGAAACTGCAGAGCTCAAAAATGGATGAAGCCTTCTCCCAAGTGTTGCTCCAAAACTTTGCTGTAGCAGATTTACAGACCAATGGGTTGTTTCTCCTCCACGGTGTACTACATTGAGAGAAACACAAAGTAGGGCTGTGCAAAACGGGCTCTATTAGATTTGGATTCGACCCGAATCGGGAACAGTGATTCGATTTGTTGATTCGGATCGCTGTCCCCGATTCGATTTGGCCAAATCCACATCTGAAGATTCAATGCTGATTCAGTGAATCAGCCATTTGGACATAGGCACAGCTTTAAAAGTTTTTTCTACATACTTGAGGTACCAGCGTGGCTCGTGATCACCGTGATGCTGGGGTGCATGAAGTGTCCCACAGGAGTATGGGGGGGCTCTCCAGCATGCTCAGCAGTGAACCCAGAAGTGAACCAGAGGCACGTCGAGCCAAGCACGCTGGGGGCCTGCTGTGCTTCTGTGGGACATTGCATCTGCCCCAGCACCTCAGCATTCAGAGGTATGTAGAAAAAATATTTAAAGCTGTATCTATGTCTGAATTGCCGAATCTGTCCAAATCTCTCCAAATCGATTCAGAGGGTTCTGATTTGATTTGGAGAAATTAAAGGGTCCTCTGATTTGATTCAGAGATTCAGCTACTGAATCAGGCCAAATCTCCGCCAGACTGAATCAGGGACCAAAGCTTCGCACAGTCCTAACGCAAAGCTGTTGCAAATGAGGTTCATCTTTGGGACAAATGAAAGCCTATCAATTGCCTTTACAAACAAAACAACAGATGTTTCTATATATGTATTACGGTGCTGGGAAACAACAAGAATCTTCCTGTTGGTTGTTCCAGGTGTTCTTGGAACTCTCCCTGGAACAAGAGAAACACAACTTCGATCTGGAGTTGGATGCAAATATGAATTTAAACAACTTCAGTGGGAAGAGCCCTTGAGGTACTAACACGCAAGTCCCCAAGTTTACCAATGGGCTTCAAAGAGGATTCAAGTTTGGAGTGGTTTCCTTGAATGGAATATATCTTGAGTCCTTACTGTGGTCTCATTTAACTATATCCTTAGATTCCACCATCTGCTTGAGTCTGCTGTTCAGGTCACAAAAATCCAGTAGAGTTCTGTCAATCGAGCAACTCCAGTGTATGCCCTCTGAGAAACTGCCCTCCATGTGAGCTGTGCAGCACATATATCATGCTTGACATTGCCCAGGAGCACATAAGGAACCAGCCAAAGGAGTCTTTGAATTATTGGCAATTACCTTTTTATATGAGAGAGGTCCCAGGGTACTTGAAAAAGGGCAACACAGAGTCTGTCTTTGGAAAGCATGGGCATGGAAGACTCCAGGGGAGTGATCAGGCTGTCTCACTACAACAGTTGAAAAGTTAATTTGCCATGTCCAATCTCTCATGTTTTATGAATTTTGTGGATGACAAAGTTGGGAAGGGCACCAGTCATTTTTTGTGAACAGGTAATCTGAATTATCTCCAGAGTATGGTAATGTGCTGGTGGGTGAAAATCAGGGAAGAGAGTCCCAACACACATTTTCCTCTTCATCTTCTAATCACATTAGAGAATGTGGACTAATATTTTGATCTTATCTGCTCAGTTCCTGTAAATGATTTGGCTTAAACACGTCCTTATATTCAAGTACAGTTTTCGCTCTGTTGCTGTACGCTGCCAATAAAAGTCTGCTGCCGTTCTTCGAACTATCACTGCTCTTTGAAATGGCTGGTTTTTCAAGTGTGTCACATCTCTCTGATGTCTAAGGCCCACCTTCCAGGTTAGGGGTGCAAGGGCTGTCATTCCCCCTGTTGACTGGCTAGTTAAATTATGCAAACTGGGTCCCACCTGGGTCACCAAACTGTTGACCAAAAGGCCAATCAGCAATTAAATTTATGATTGGGGCAGACATGGGTGTGGGCCATCTATCAGACCCTAATAATAGTAGGTAAAATCCCTAAATAAAACCCACTTCCCCACAGCAGTGGGGGAAAGGGGTATTAATTAAAAGGGACAGCAGCAAAGCAGCAATACCAACAGCAATAACTACAATCAGGATGAGCTGTTGGCTTTCCCAGGCTGTCCATCTCCAACAGCCTCTCACTGCTAGGCTAAGGGCAGTGTTGTGTGTAGTTGCTTCCACCCTACCACCTGCAGGATTTTGGCTGGAGACCTGGTCCACAGATGCTAAAGATCCTTTAACCAGCTCCCAGCTCTCGGGACCTAATCTCAGGCATTTTATGCACAAGGTACTTTCTCAATCCAAAACCCAGTCTCTCTCCCTCGTGGTCTCGCCCACACTCGCTCTCAGGTGGGCTTATATGTGCTGATAGCCCAGACCTCCACAAAGGGGGGAAGAGCCAGACCATACCTAGGCCCAACACCCCAGCTTGCTAGGCCCTCACACTTAGCCTGCTGTGTGAATGTTGAGCTGCTTGCTTGCAGGCTGATGCTTTAAATGAGGAAAGTCCTGAAAGTTCACGTTTGTCATCTGCAACGCCTGGCCATCCCCTTTATCTCATTTGCCCTTTGGTTACAGTTTTGCAACACCAGTGGTGAGCAAAGGTCCAGGGCCTTTCATTTGGCAACACCTCTCATGGCCGCATCTTGCCCCAGCTCTGTTCGTTGCAGCCAGAGTCCCAAGACCACCCGACTTCATTGTGGACTTCCCCCCGCTGCTTTTACTGAGCACCCCACACACACGAGCCCATACCACTTTCAGGCTACCATTGTGTTCACCCTCTTGGGGTCCGTGGCTTTGCTCTGTGCTTCTCCAGAGTCAGAAACCCCTGGACAACCAACATCCATCCATGCTGAGGTGCTGGCAATTAGAAGCCCTGGGAGTCCTTGCTACAGCTTGGACCCTGTCTGCACAGGAAAACAGGATTGCTAAGACTTTGTAAATTTACTGGAATTTGCCTGCAACATGGGCATGACTGCAGCCCTCTTCCCCCACTTAAGCAAAGCTCTTCCGGTCTCTCTTCCAGTATAAACTTCACGGCACTTTCTGCTGTTCGTGCATGTAATTGAACCTGGCTGTGTTCCTACTATCAGCCTCAAGAACCTGGTTGCTGTTCTATAGCTGACATTAGAAAAGCTCTGTGTTCAAAATGTCCTGAACTAGAAATCAAATGTTCCTATTACCCCTGCTCTATATCCAACTACTGAGAAGTGAGGGATATTTATGCTATTTAGAAGCTATTTTCTAGATAATATTCTGCAAACAACACTATTGACCTGCATAGATAATGGGGCTTACATTTGCTTTCCCGTTTACCTACGTTATCTTGGTGTTTCATTTCCTTTGAAGTCAGTAGGACCCTTGCAACAATAAGTGAATTTATAAGAGGCAGACAAGGTTCTTTGAGAAAATGTGGTATCTTTTATTAGATCAATACATAGTTAGAAACATTGTTCTTTACAAGCTTTCAGGCACGAACATACTTCTTCTGGCATAGGGAGAGTCTGCTGGTGTCTATATGCTCTCCTGGGTGGAATAGAAGCTTAAACCAATATTCAAAGGCAGGTCTGTGAAAACACAAATGTATGGCAGAGAAGATCAGAGGGGATTTGATTTAATAGGTGCAAGGCAGGTAGTTGGGGAGGGGAAAGGGGGGAACGGTGACCTGGTAATAGAATGAAGCTGGTAAAATGTAGCAAGGTTACCTAGAGTTATCTGATGGCAGGCAGCTTATAACTTGCCATAAATCCAGTGTCTATATTTAATCCATGATTTTTTGTATCTGGTAGATTTATGAAGTGAAGTGAAGTTTGTCGGCTTGTCTATGAAAGATATTTAGTAAATTCCCTTTGAGGATTACAACTGAAAGACTGGAAAGAGAGTGGTTGTCTTGTGAGAAACGTGCATCCGCAGTTAATTGGGTATTTTTGTCTTTGATAGATTTGCGGTGTGTGTTCATTCGGGTGCACAGTTGCTGTTTGGTTTCTCCTATGTCTTTTCCATTTGGGCATTCAAGCTGTATAATATTTCTTGAGGAGCAGGTATGAGATCCAGGAATGGTGGTGATTCTGTTGTAGGATGTAGTTATTTTGGGAGTGGTTTTACATTTCTTGTCCCAGCATGGTCTGGATCCATTCGGTGTGCTTTAGGCTGTAGGAAGTTTGCGTCTGGTGATGTGGTTGGCATGGTTCAGTGCCTGTTTGAAGGCTATGATGGGTGATTCTGGAAACAAACTTTGGCCGTTTTTTCTTGTTTCCCCACTGCCCTTTGTGAAGTCAAAACTTCAAGGGTTTTCCATTAACTTTGGGAGAGGTTTCCCTTCGGCAGCTCAGCAGCAATATGCTTCCTGTAAAATAGAATATCATGAAGGAGTGCCAAGGAAGAAGGCTCCTAGAGAGTAGAGAAGCCAATACAAAACAAAGTGATCACATGAGATTAGCTTTTTGGCAGAATTACTACTACAGAGAAAAAACAGCTATTCGCAGAAAGGCACTGGGAGTTAGTGCTGTTGCACAGTTTATCCCAGGGAAAAAGGCTTTTGCATTTTCTTCCTGCTTTACAAGGAAAATATACTCATAGGTTCATAGATGTAGAGTCAGAAGGGACCTGAACAGATCATCAAGTCCAAC